ATCCTAGGTAGAGGCAGACTATTTCTCTCTCTGGGCACAATGCGAATATTATCTGTTGAACAAAACTCCACATTGGTGACAGGAAGGGCATCTGGCCAGTAAACACTGAACTCCATTCAGTTGCCCAAAATCCACCCCACAAGGGATTATGGGATCATTAAAAGAAGATGATATGTTGGAAGGAGACATAGCTTAGAGAAACCATCATCTGAGGAACCATCATCTAATTTAGTGGCTTGGTCCTGTGATAAAGTATGGTTTGTTGAACACATCAGATTGGCTGGGTCACTGTTCCTATATAGCAGCGGCAGCTAACCTTTTTCAGGTCCTGTGCCGATAATTCCACGCGTGCTCGTGTGCTCACGTGCCAGCACCCAGAAGGCAATGCGTGCTGGGCCCCACCCCACCCCTGTGCATGTGTATGCGATCCCACCGCATGCCATACATCTGTGCATGCGCACGTGATCCACCCACCATACACCGTGCACCTCTGCACATGTGCGCATGTCTCCCGCGCACCCCCGTGTCTCCCCCTCCACTGTGCATGCGCACCCGATACCCGACAATCAGCTCTCGGGCGGCAACGCACACACATTCACAGTGGGGCTCTTCTGGACGAGTTCTCGTGTGCTGGCAGAAATGGCTCAGCGTGCCACTTCCGGCATGCGTGCCACAGGTTCGCCAACACGGCTATATAGTCTGGCTGGTTTTAAGTAAAACACAGCCACAGTGGTAGAAAAGAATGAATGAAACGGTTTTTAATTGTTTTCTGAATTTTCTTTTCCACTTCTCCTTCTTTATTTCTTTTTTTCTCTTTCACATTTATGCATGTGTTGTCTGTTTTAATTGTAAAATTAATAAAGTTTTTTTTTTTTAAAGAGAATTAATTTATACTTCTCCCTGCAGCTGAGAAACAATAAACCTGGAATCAACGATTACCCATCTTCGCTGTCAAGATATAGATTGGGGCTAGGGCTAGGGACTGGATCAGGTTTTGTAAAATCTCTTAAAGTTCACCCCCCTCTTACTTGAAGAAGTTGGCCTCCGTAATATTCAACTCCCACTTGCAGATCTGAAGGTTCTTCCACCTTTCAAACAATTCTGTCTGCCTCGCTCTAAAACAGGCAGAAAAAAATGGTCACCTTAGAGCTGAATTCCAAACGCAGCAGCATCTACATCCCAATTTGGACAACAACAACGCAACCCATCATCCTGGTCAAGGAAGAGAGTCTCCGTGTGCGCGTTTGTGTCTACACACACACACTCAACACACATTCTTCCGAAGCAAAGAAAACCACAGGATATGGAATATATGCGGAAGAGCCGTGGTGGCGCAGTGGTCAGAGTGCAGTACTGCAGGCTACTTCTGCTGACTGCCGGCTGACTGCAGTTTGGCAGTTCAAATCCCACCAGGCTCAAGGTTGACTCAGCCTTCCCTCCTTCCCAGGTGGGTAAAATGAGGACCCAGATTGTTGGGGGCAACAGGCTGACTCTGTAAAACTGCTTAGAGTACGGCTGGAAAGCACTGTGAAGCGGTATAGAAGTCTAAGTGCTATTGCTATTGCTATATACATATACATACATACATACATACATGTGTGGGTATCCCAGATCCTGTGGCTTGCTTGGCTTCTTTTGCCTGTCAAACAAAAGAATATTCTGATCGCAGGCTTGGCAAGAGTCAAGCTTGCTGATTGGACACAGGCAATTGATGGCTTTATTTATTTTAGGTTTATTTTATTTTATTTGTTTGTCAAACATGTACAAGATGACAAGTATAGCTATGAACATAAACAGTCCCACGTCCAACCTTTTTGTTTCTCTGTCATTCCTTGGAAAACACCTTCCTGATAATCTTGTCTTCAAGACCTTGCCACCGGTTCCAGAAAAGCTAACAATCCCAGCAGGTGCTGGGTGAACGCTAGCTCTCCTGCAAGTTGGAGCAGACTAGGAGCTGACTTACACCTGCTGTTGGTTCAGAGGTGGGATTCAAATTTCTTAACAACTGATTTGTGGGTGTGGCTTAGTGGTCATGTGTCTTGGTGGGTGTGGCTTGTATGTAAATACTGTAAATATTTACGTAAATATTGATTTTTTTTTATTTTAAAAAAGAGCAACTTTTACCCAAAATCAGGCAAAGCAGGCAGGCAGATTGAGTTGCTTGCAGAACCACAGATTCATTCAGAGATCTACCTTTCTGCAATCTGCTGCCTGAGTCTGCACTGAAGAATAGAAGCTTCAGTCCTACTCCTCAGGAAGGTTCAGCTCTGCTCGCAGGCCACTTCTCCCCGTCCCCCCTCACTGTATACCACCCCTGGCTGAGCCTCAAGGAAGCCTCCTGGTTGAAGGCAAAGCAGTCCAACAGCAATTTAGACGAGCTAGAAAGCAAGAAATCCGTCGATTTCCTGTTTCCTAGCTAATCTAAATCATGCGCCGCAGCTGATAGTTGGAACAGCTGATCATTGGGGGGGGGAGGAAAAATAGCAACTTACCAAAAATTAGGCAAGGCACAACACAAGCAAGTTGGATGGCGCGCGTGCGAGATAAGGAGGACTAGGCGGGGAGGGGAGGGGCCAGCCAGTAGCACGATTTGCTGGTTCTCTGAACCGTGCAGAATCATGATAACCGGTTCCATAGAACTGGGCTGACCAGGTAGAATCCCATCCCTGTGTTGGTTCCACCTCACTGTTACTCACCAACCCTGACAGGAAAACCTTACACATTCTGAGCATCGCTGCAAAGTGTAAATTTGAAAACAACCTATTCTGGACCAAAAAAAAAAAAGGCTGGATTTTGCCACACCCTTCGGTCAGTGTTGCCCAGGACAAAAGGAATGAACAGGTTCCTACTTACACCGTCAGAACCTTCAGCTCCATTATTTCCCGCCTCAGATCCAGACATTTTGTAGAGTTGTAATCAAAAGGTCCGTCATAATATTCAAAGTACCTGAGGAAGAACAAATGAGACACACACACAAAAATGAATGCCAGGTCTCACTGCTTCTAACATCCTCTTCACACAGCTGGCTGCCCTTTCCAAAAATGTTTGTCAGCCCATCTCATAAGTCCCTTTCCTCTAACTGTGGTTTGTACAGCATATGCAGTAGGCCTCAAAAAAAGATGTTGAGAAGAGCAACATAGATGATTAGGGGACTGGAGGCTAAAACAAGAATGGTTGCAGGAATTGTTTAGCTTAATGAAAAGAAGGACTAGGGGTGACATGATAGCAGTCTTCCAATATCTCAGGGGCTGCCCCAAAGAAGAGGGAGTCAAGCTATTCTCCAAAGCACCTGAGGGCAGGACAAGAAGCAATGGATGGAAACTAGTCAAGGAGAGAAGCAACCTAGAACTAAGGAGAGATTTCCTGATAGAACAATTAATCAGAGGAACAGCTTGTCTCCAGAAGTTGTGATCCAACACTGGAGGTTTTAAAGAAGTGATTGGACAAACATTTGCCTGAAAGGGTACAAGGTTTTCCTGCTTGAGCTGGGGGTTGGACTAGAAGACCTCCAAGGTCCCTTCCAACTCTGTTTCTCTGCTCTTCCATTAATGAAGAAACGGACAGGCTAATGAAGAAACAGACTCACCCACCCACCCAAAAAATGCAGCAGCTTTGTTCGCACGAGTTCTTCCTTTGGTTACGGAATTAACCCATGTTCTGAGTTTGTAGAATGACCCAGAACCATAAGCTATCCAATGTTTTAATGCTGCAATCCACCCAGAATTGTTTCTATATAAGATGGGTGGCAAAATACACTTAATCAATAAATAAGTGGATAAATATGGGCTGGATCGAAAGCAAGCAAGAACCCTACCCAGGTTCAGCCTACTCTGGAAAACCCACTCTGAGGTCTTCATAGGATGAAAGCTGGTGCTTTTATAGTCCTGACACAGATAACTGGTCTATAGATAGTCCTCAATTTATGACCTCAATCGCACCAAAATTTCTGTTGCTAAGCAAGGTAGTTGTGTAGTGCATTTTGCCCCATTTTACGACCACTCTCGCCATGGTTGTTAAGTGAATCGGTGCAGTTTTAAGTTAGTAACTCAGTTGTTAAGTGAATCTGGCTTCCTCAGTGACGTTACTTGTCAGAAGTTTGTAAAAACGTGACCACCAGGACCTCTGCAACCATCTGAATTTTGATCGGGGGGGGATGCTGAAATGGTCATAAGTATGAAAAATGGTCATAAGTTGCTTTTTCAATGCTGCTGTAATTTCAAACGTTCGCTAAACAAATAGTTGTAAGTTAAGGACTATCTGTATTTGTTCCTCGAAAGACTGGGGAAATTTTGCCTTGAAGAATCTGGTTTTGTATATTTTGTATATTTTTCCTGTCAGTGCAATCATGTTTAACTCTAGCTGTCAATTAAATTAAACAGAAATCAAATCAAATATTTAATTTTCCAAATTAATCTGCTTTTCTTTTAAGCAACTGACAGAAATCTGAACAGCCCAGCAGCCAAAACGTTTTACAAAATGAATATTGGACCATATATTTTAAGAAAAGCAGCTGGCACAAGGGAAATCATAACTGAGAACCCCAGACCGTGATGGACAAGTAAAGAGAATTTTGTTTCTTGTGGCTCACTATCTTCAATTTAATTTCTCTTTTTCCTGCGTGAAGCTTATTAAATACACAAAATTGCAGAAGTGCCAATGAATGGATGGTGCCCACAAAACAAAAATAATCACATCAAATTCACCTGTGCATTGGACAAAAGATTGACAAGCTATATAAATGGCCAGGAACAATCAAACAGCTACACTAAAGTACAATTCTGATGTACAGTTAAAAGTAAAGAATGCCTGAAATGTACGTCATTAACAAAGCAATTCCAGAAAATTCAACCAGATAGCCTGAAATCTGTTTTCCTTGCAGCTCTGTCAGGAAAGTAAAACAATCTTGAAACTTTTACTGCTCTTTAAGCGCATGGATGCATGGATAAATTCAAACAGGATCTGACCCAGGTACCCTGCTTCCACACATTTTTAAACATTCATCCCTCTCAGAAAACAACCGAGCATACACCCCTATTCAGATGCACTTATTTTTCATAAATATGCAAACCCGGCTTGCGAAAAGTCTGGAACACTATAAGTGGTTTTTGACTTATAACCACTCGTTTAGTGACTACTCAAAATTAACAATGGCACTGTAAAAAGTGACTTAGGATTGTTTTTCACATGACAAGCAAGGTCACTTAAGAACCATGTCAACTAAAAAAATTTTCATTGGTCTTTTTAGCTGCCAGAAGAAAGGGAGTGGGGAAAGTAGCGCATCCCTTAAATGTTTCAGATAATTGCTAGGCAGCCAAAGCTGTTGGCACGCAAGACTATTACTGGAGAGCATGATTGATGACTCTTGGCTATGGAGGTGTCCCATTGGAGAATAGGAATTATGATACACCCAGGGGGTGGGGGGAAAACCAGGGTCAAGGGTGATAATGAATTATGTAACTTAGAGTTGGCTGCACCCAGGAAACGCCGACATGGTCACTCCTAATAAATTATTTTTTTTACTCTGAGGGATGCGGCTAGAGACTTATGATTTGAATGGGGGTGAATGTCGGAGCCTTGACAAACCGTCTTGCTAACATAGCAATTGCAGCGATTCACTTCACAAGGTTATAGAATGGGGCAAAACTCACTGAACAAACGTCTCATTTAGCAACAGAAATTTTGGGCTCAATTGCGGTCGTAAGTCGAGGACTACCTGTATTCCACTTTCGTCAGCTGAAAAGGACTTTTTGTTCTGACCCAATCCCCAAACACAAGAAAAACCCTCTGTAGCTGAAGCAATGTTTCCTTTATTAGGAGCGCCAGCAACCCCAGCAAAAAAGTTTGTCTTTCACCGCAGGCTAACAAGTCCGTCTGGCAGGGGAGGTGAAGAGTTGTCTGCCACACCTATTCGTCCCCACCCCCTGCCTTTTATCCCCAGAGCTAGGGTGGGGCTTCACTAGCAGCAGTGGCTCTTCCATCCCAAGGACCGGCCCATAGATTTCCATTGCTCTCCTCTCCTCTGCCTTCTGCGCATCCGAACATCAGGCACTGGGTCCAGCTGTTCCTCCTCTTCCTCATCAGCCACCTCCAGACCTGGGGGCTGTTGATTCTTCATCTGAGGACTGACAGCTGGCCCAGGCTCGGCCTCTGTCTCTGTCTCTCTCTGTCTGCCAGTTCCATTCCCTCTTCCCCCTCTCAGGTTGCCCTGATGCTAGCCCTGACTCCCACGCCTCCTCCCCTGGTTTGGCTACTGGAGGGGCCGGCGGCCGACAGGCCAACACTTTTAAGGATTAAGGTGGGACCTCTCTTTTCTCTACATTAGGAGAGTCCAACCTTG